GTGCTGGAGGTCTCCCGTCCCGGGAAGTGTCCTGGAGCTGGGGTTTCACTGGATCGCTTTGATCGGAAAAGACCTCAGCGATCACGGAGTCCTATCTATGACCCAGCACCACTGTGTCAGTTGGACCATGGCACTGACTGCCACGTCCAGTCTGTCCTTCAACACCTCCAGAGATGGTGACTCCACCATCCCCCCGGGCAACCCATTCCAATGCCAAATGCCAATGGAATTCCAAATTCCACGTTTTCTGTGGAAAAATCCCTCCTGATGCCCAGCCTGAACAGGGGACCCTGGTGCAGCTTTAGGCCGTTTCCTCTTGCTCTGTTGCTGGTGCCTGGCAGAAGAGTACAGCTACAGCCTCCTTGGAGGCAGCTGGAGAGAGTGATCAGGTCCCCCATGAGCCTCCTCTTGTCCAGGCTAAACACCCAGCTCGCTCAGCCCCTCCTCACACGACTTGTGCTCCGGACCTCCCCCAGCTTCGCTGCCCTTCTCTGGACAGCTCCGGCTCTGTCCCCGCGTCCCCACAACCCCGGTGTCCCGGCCTGCCAGCCCCTCGCTGCTCGGTTCCATGGACGGCTCAGTGCTACACAAGGGGCTGCCCTGATGTGTCCCTGGGGGATGCCCTCCGGTTCTCCACACAGACCATCCCTCCCTTCTCCTCGGCTTCTCAAGAACCATTCTCAGGCACTGCTTCTATCCATCCGTTCCCCTGTCCTGCCTTACTCCATTTGGCAAATCTTGGACTCATTGTCCAAGTGCAGCCAAATCTAGTAGGGGAGCTGAAGTTTTGTGCATAGCTACATCAATAGGGATCTTGTGAAAAGATGAGCTAGAACCAAGGTGCTACTCAAGGGCATCAAAGGAGGAGGAGGAGAGATAAAAATAGGATTAAGAAAATCATCCTAATCACCACTGTTAATAGAAGTAGTGGAGTTAAGAGATAAACCTCACAAAATCTCAGCTGGCCATGCAATAGCCTTATTTAACTGCATTTTAGTGTATTTGAGATTTGATGAAGACATGATTTAATCACCTTTCTAATGCAAGATACTCTGCTGCAGATGTCATACTTTTACATCTGAACATACATGTTACAAGTTAAAAGAGTTTTAGACTTCCAGGTTTATTTGTGCAGAGTATCAAAGCGCAATTCTTGATAGAAGACTATTAAACACCAAATTAACATTTTCTTTTTACTAGAAAGAATGAGCTAGTCTTGTCCTACTACTGGCATTTTCACAATACAGACTCAGGGCTCTCACTGCGTTAGTCATCTCAGATAAGATGATCCTGATAAATGTCCTGTTTCTCCAGTGAAACACTTTGTCTTGATACAAGGTGACGTTTAGATTTGTACCTTCTGTTATAGAAAAAGTCTGAAAGTGGACGCTGAGCATTCCTCTTGCTGGGGAGCAATTCTGAAATTATGAGTGGATTTTTAAGCTCTATAGGATCTTTTATATTAACATCTGCACAGCACTTAATTAAAAAAAACCCCTTGAAAATGGCCTTGCTCTTTGCAGAGCTTTTTAAAATTAGTCAGCTCCTTTCTTTAAGCAATATTTTGAAATTATATTGTTCCAGTAATGTTCCAGCTCTGTGATATCAATGAATGATCTAAAATTGTACAGAAGGCTTCCTTTTCAGTGAAAAAAATGGAAAGAAATGCTTTCCCACCTTTTTGAAAGATTGTTGATAGTTTCATTATTAAGCAATTTTACTTTTATTAATGAACCATCCATCAGTAAATATATGCCTACACTTACAGGTTATTTTATATATTTATAATTTTTAGATATTTTGGAACCTAGAAGATGCAATCCACCAGTGTAAAATTTAGTATTGATGTGTTGAAGTATCTATCATTTGAAATAAAAAGGTCACAATTTCAGTCGGATGAAACCTGGGGGTCGTTGTGTGGTCGCTTGCTTTGTTGTTGTTGTTTTTTGTTTTTGTTTTTGTTTTTTTTTTTTGTTATGACTTTCTACCCTCAAACCTCAAAGTTTTAAAAACCTTGGAAAAGGAGACTTTATAAATTAGATGGAGGAGATTAAACTACTCACGGTTGTGTAGTAGTTTTCCCTTGACATCAATGTTTAGCAAAATCTCTCTTTTCCTGGGCACAGTTCTCCCTTCATTCCATTAGGTGGAGCTTTGTGATTAAGGCTGCAGAAGAAACTTGCATCTGAGTGCAAAATAATTCACCAGAAAATGGCTGGGGGAGGAGGTGAATGAAGCCTTCTTTGCTTAGAGGTATCGTTGTCCTGTACGCGAGCTTGAGACACAAAAATCTGAATCAAGACCCTCACATACAAGGAAAATAAATTGAAAAATCGATTCTGTCAAACAGGGCCCTGCTCTAATCTGCTGTTGTCATAGTCAAGTTCCGAGTCTAAAATACCTTAGGTTATAAATTAAATGTCAAATATAATTAATTTGCCACTTGAAACATGAAG